GAAAGACAGAGACAAAGCCGCACAAAAAGGAGACACATGAAAGGAAGTGGGTGGAATCAAGTCCGGTTGTTACCAGAAAGGATCCCGCAATGATCCCAACAGAACACCAGTAAGGGAGGACAGAGAGACAGCTCTGCGCAGAGCTCTGCCCTGACCGCCTCAGCTCCCTGCTGTCAGGGGATTGCACAGGGGCGCAGTACAAACTAAGGTTCCCTGTGTAAGGAGACGGAACTGCTAACTGTCCCGACTGCTCACTGCACAATGGACGTGTGTGTCAAACTCACCCCCTACTCCATAAATGTGTTCTATGTCAATTAAAAAGTAAAAAAAGTCGGGGCTTGGATTTAGCTCAACGGTTCTGCTGGTGCCGAGTTCAATCCCCAGTACCAAAAAACAAAACAAAACAAAAGTAAAAAATTTGAATTAAGTGCCCAAAAAACTCCAACTGTGGTGGGCACAAACCTTTAATCCTAGTACTTGGAAGGCTGAGGCAGAAGGATAGCTGTGAATTTGAGACCCTGCCAAAAAAAAAAAAAAAAAAAAAAAAAAAAGTTGTGGCTCTGGTGAATGCTTGCCTAGCATGTGCAAAGGCCCTGGGTTCTTTCCTAGCACTGAAAAAAAAAAACTTTCATGCCACTTGAAAATGATGCGAAATTCTAACACATTCATGTCTGTAAAATTTTGGCTTTTTTTTTGGTACCAGGGATAGAACTAGGGTCCTTGAGCTTTCAAGGCAGATGGCGGAACCACTCAGCCAAATCCCCGGCCCAAAATTTTGGCTTTTTAAAAATTTTGTGGCACTGGGTAGGGAACCAGGGCCTCACACAAGCCAGACCAATGCTCGCCTCCAAGCTGCACCCCAGCTCTTTGGCCTTTTAAATTTTTTTCATTGAGACCTTTACAGAAGTTATCTCCTTAAGAGCTACACAGGCCATCAGCTTCCACCTCTCAGCATGGGAAGCCAGAGCTTTTCACTACCTGGCTCCAGAGCAATCAGAAGCAAGCACTCCCGGTGGCTGTTCCTGCTGGACAGGCAGCATATGACTTTCTACATTCAGAGTAATCCCGTGTGTGACTGGTTTTACCATGTAGGTGGTTATCCTTGTGTGCTAATGTTTTTAGTAATAAAATTCACGTTAAATTGTCTTGCTGCTGTTGTTGTTTTGAGACGGGGTCCTGTTATGTGGCCCAGGGTGGTGTTGAATTCCTGGGCTCAATGACCCTCCTGCCTCAGCCTCCCCAGTAGCTGGGACTCTAGATATACATCACTCCGCGTGACTAACCCTAATCATTTTCTGCTGTACACGGAGTACATCGCATCCCTTGGCCGTGCCGCCCCTCCATCCACCCCCAGGACTTTCCATCACTCCCACCGAGCTCTGTCTCAGGAAACGCTGACCCCGGCCCCTCCCCAGCCCGGCACCACCGTCCTCCTTCCTGTCCCTGTGGGTCTGAGTGCGCTGGGCCTCCTGGGCACACTGAGGTGCGTGTCCTCCTGTGTGTGGCTCGGCTCAAGGGCCAACCACGCTGCAGCAGTGTCAGGACTGTATTTCTTTTCTTTTTCTTCATTTCTTTTGTTTTGTTTTGTTTTCCTTTTTCTCCCTCCCTCCCTCCCTCCCTCTTTCTTTCTTTCTTTCTTTCTTTCTTTCTTTCTTTCTTTCTTTCTTTCTTTCTTTTTTTCTTTCCTTTCTCTCGCTCTCTCTCTCTCTCTCTCTCTCTCTCTCTCTCTCTCGAGATGGAACCCCCGGGCCTTGACATTCAGCTCCACCCCAGCCCTTTTCATACTTTTTATTCTGTGACACCATTTCTCTAACTCACTAAATTGCCCAGGCTGGGCTGGAACGTGCAGTCCTCCTGCCTCAGCCTCTTAGCGTGCTGAGATTATAGATGCTCACCACATCCAGCTGATCACTTCCTCTAAATGCTTAGCGCCATGCCAGTGCGGACCCACACGCTGCAGAACCCAGACAGCTTTCCACGGTGCCGCACTCGTATCCGGCCTGCTTTTAATGCTTCCATTAAACTTCCTGCATTGGCCACTTCCCCTCGCTGGGTTTGGATACCGAGTTCCGCCAAGGCGTTGCGTGCTCAGAGAGAGGCAGGGCCTGCGGACGGTGACTGCACTAGGGGGCGCCACTGCCGGCGTGCTGTCAGGGTCACCGGGAGCGCGGTAGGGAAGGCGCTGTCTTCCTCCCCACACCCCTAGCTTGGGTCTCTGCTTCCTGACAGTCATGGTGTGAGCAGCTTCTCCTCCACCGTGCCCGTCTGCCTCCCTGTTTCTGGCTTGTAGCCAGCCAACCATGGACTCTAACTGTGCACCAGCATAAAGCTTTCCTCACCCAGTGTGGTGGCGCACACCTGTAACCCCAGCATTTGGGAGGCCGAGGCAGGAGGATCACCAGGTGTTCAAAACTAGCCTGAGCTACATAGTAAGTTCAAGGTCAGGCCCTGTCTCCAAAGAAATAAACAAACAAATACTTACAAACCAAAATGAACCAACTAAATAGATAAACCTCTCTTCCTTTAAGTCATGGGTATCGGGTATTCTACCAATGAGAAAAGTAAGTCAGCCCCTGCTTGTGGGGGCCACTGCGTGGTGCCCCAGGATGACAGCTCACATCTGTTTCGCCTCACAGATGGGGAAACTGAGGCCCAGACAGGAAGGGACGGAGGCCGCACGGCCAGTGGGGTTCTGGAGCCGTTCCGGAGTGAGCCCGGGCCCGGGGCAGTACTCACGGCGCCAGGCGGGTGCGGGGCCTGGCTCAGGCTCTTGGCCTCCTGGGGAGAGAAGTACAGCGCGCCGCCCACAGCGATGGCCAGCCACATGTCGAAGATCTGAGCGCAAACGTAGCTGAGGGGCAGGTAGCTCACCAGCACCTCCTGCCCTCCGGGCGGAAACTTGTAGCACAGGCTCTGGGCGGTGACCGCGGTGGTCCAGGTGATCTGCGGGGCCCCGGCTGTCAGCTGGGTACAGAGCAGGGCCGGACCCTCGCACACACACCCGGCGTGGCACTCACATTGTCGTGGCTGAGCATTATGACTTTGGGGGGACCTGTGGCCCCCACGCTGTAGACCAAGGTGCAGCACTGATTGGGCTTCTGCGAGTCCATGATGTGGTCCAGCGCCTCATCGGAGACGTCGCTGCCGAGGTCCAGGAAGCTCTGCCACTGCCGGGAGGCCGGGAGTGGGTCTGGG